CCACGTGACCTAACTCCTCCCCTCCTGACGTCACCTCCGGAGGGCCGTTTACGCCCGCATTACATATCCACTTACACATTTTTTTTGTCGATTGGCCGATTGATCTTACAGACATAGGGCATCCAACAGCATCTTATTGAGCAATTAAACATTTCACTCAATTGTTACAGAAATAGGGTGTCCATAATTGATAGATTTTTTTTTAAATCACTAAAATTTGTATCTTGCAAAAAATAAGGGCTGGCAAATGCACGTATTTATCGGGACAATAATTTAACACTATCACCTGTGAACAAACTTTACCACAATATGGACATCTCTAAATTATGTTATTTAGATGCAACTTTAAGAACGTTTAGAGTATTTGGCTGCTATAAATCTCCCCATAATACGTTACTTTATTGGGTTATCATTTGTGGACAGGTTGCTTCTGCAAAACTTTCTATAGTAGCTGAGTGGGCCTTACCTGGTGAAATATAAATTGTTTAGTTTAAGTACACCTCTTTATTAAATGTGGGTTGAAGTAACAATACTAATATCCTTGGATAGTTATTCATTTCCTGCTGTTTTTTAAATAGAAAATGTCAGTAAAGACACAACCTTTGGGTAACCCTTATATACGACTCCAACCATCGGCAGCTGCCGATTCACTAAAAGAAATCGGGTTTAGTGCATTACATTCAGGTACACAACAACAAAAAACTGAGATTCCTTTGCACAGCCGTGAAACGCTCAAAACTGTGTAAAACCAGGGGCAATCGTTGAGACTTGGCATGTATGTTTATATGTATTTGAACTTCCTTTGCACTATGCGTAGGCAACAATGCTAATCGAAGGTTTGTGCTTGTGCATACTGCCAATGCAGTACTGTATCACCGAATATTTGTTTACTATTGAAAATGGACAGGGCTTATGGAAGAAAGGGCCTGTCACCTCACCAGAAATTGGGGTAGTTTTAGATTATGAATTTATTGGGGTCTTGCCTGGTTAAAAAACGCACATTTACACAGATTTACCTATAACCAAATCACTCGCAATGTGTCTGATCACAGAAGCTAAGCAGGGTTCAAGCTTGGCCATGGTGATTGCACGGGTTAGCACCATGTGAAACAATAAACAGCCTTCTCCATTTCAAAAAAGGTGCAATGACGACTGACACACGCTCTTCGCTTTAGTAAGAGCCTTTATTGGTGGACACGAACACTCTATCTTCTTGGTTCTTTCGGTAAAGTGACCGAAACGTCGTGAGAATTATTTTATTATGTTTTATTTCTATTATTATATTATTTCCATTCTACGTGACTTTACCGAAAGAATCAAGAAGATGAATCCCTGCAGTCACGAAAGCTTTAAAACGAACACTCTTCTTTAATCCCGAACTTATTCTTCTCTCCAAACGTTCCTTCCCCTTGTGCTATCTCCTTTTACGCCCCTCAAGCCCCCTTTCTCGAAGGTTCGATCACCCTATTTCCCTCAGCCAATCCCCGTCCTCCTTCTTCAACAGTTGTTAACTCTTCCCCCCGTCATTCAACCCTCATTTCTCTCCTTCTACGTTTGTATGTCTCCTCCGATCACTTCAATTTCTGCCTCCAGCCAACCCTCTTTCAGGCCTTCCCGCACCAATCAGAGGCCTCAAGTTGCTTTCTGGCTGTCCGCGTCTGCACGCGCACCATGTCAGGTAAGTTGTTTGTTGTTTTTGGTCTTTACATCATCCCCAACACCCTTAGAAAAAGAACTGTCCCGGCTAACACCAGGGGAGAGAATGACAATCAAACAAACCACGGGAAGCCGAGCGGAACGCCACCAACATTAAGTGATGACGTCACAATGGCCTCATGTTTCCGTGTTCTCACGTGAGCCCCTTGTGGTTTGGCCCAACAATGTGCTTATGTGTCCAACTATGGAAATATACATTTACATGAACAAACCTGACCTTTTGTCCGTGTATGTGTAAATAAATTATAATGCGATGTGAGTGTATTTTCGGTGCACGGATTATGCACATCCTACAGTCAAACATCAACAACACGACTGAGTTTCGATTTAAAGCTTTCGTGACTGCAGGGATTCATCTTCTTGGTTCTTTCGGTAAAGTCACGTAGAATGGAAATAATAAAATAATAAAAATAAAACATAATAAAATAATTCTCACGACGTTTCGGCCACAACGCAAGCAGCCGTCCTCAGGTGGAGAGCAGGTCTGTCGAGAAGACTCATAATCATGCTTATCGACAGACCTGCTCTCCGCCTGAGGACGGCTGCTTGCATTGTGGCCGAAACGTCGTGACAATTATTTTATTATGTTTTATTTTTATTATTTTATTATTTCCATTCTACGTGACTTTACCGAAAGAACCAAGAAAAAACAAGACTGAGAACAACAAGTTGAAACAACCCCCTGCTCCATCTAGGAACAGCTTTTAGTGCAACCGCGCACATCTTGCACGGGTCCTCATTGCTGGACCAACGTACCCTGCAGGGTCCAGCGGCGAGTCCTGAATTAGGCTCGGTTCTGTGGGCGGTACAGCAGCATGCACAGGTGACATAGGTGCTCCGGGCGGCTGTTGTGGCTTGTCCGACACCCCAGACTCCAGCAGAACAGGGCATGGAGTGGAGATGAGGTGCATGGATGATGATGAAGTTAAGATTTGAGGCTCGACGGGTGAACATACCAATGCCAACGTCCTAACTGTAAACGCACGCATTGTGGCCGATTCACCTCGATAATTTTGAATGGGCCCTGCCACAGCCGATTCAATTTGGGAGAGGTACATGATGGGACCTGCATGCAATTAATTCTAGATTTGAAGCTTTCGTGACTGCAATGATTCATATTCTTAGGTTTTTTCGGTAAAGTCACGTAGGTAAAAAACATTAAAAAGTAAAATAAAATAAAAATCACGACGTTTCGGAGGCAACACAAGCTTCCGTCTTCAGGTGGTACCGTCACAGCCACGACAGCTGTATCAAGTAAATGAGAGATTGCAGAAGCTACCACTCGCTTTCTGCCCAGGGAAGTGTGTGAACTCATCGCAGTGTATTTCGCTCGTTAGTGGCATATGCTTTTGCGGTGCTCGCCATTGACGCTGTCCGCGCTTCGAGCAATCGATCGAGCGTGGCTTGCAAAGACGCGGGACGATCAGACACACCTGTAAGGGGGCTCAACCACTATATAAGGTACAGATATTTTGCTGTGACGGTTTCACCTGAAGACGGAAGCTTGTGTTGCCTCCGAAACGTCATGATTTTTATTGTTTTATCTTTATTAATTTTAATTTCATTTTTGTACCTACGTGACTTTACCGAAAGAACTAAGAGTATGAATCCTTGCAGTCACGAAAGCTTCAAATCTAGAATCTCTATGGGAGGTTCATGACCGTACATGAAACAGAAGGGAGAAAACCCCGTGGAGGCATGTGGCGCCAGTCTATATGGTGCCAAGACCCCCAGGACATGGGAGATCCCAGTTGGTTTGCGTCGTATCCACGAATTGGCAGAGCACAGCTAAACTCCCCCCCCCCTTCCCGTGCCTATATAAAGCCACAACAGCAGATCATTTTTTCTCACCTCACTTGCGACCGAAACGTTGTTTTCTTTTATTATTTTTCTTCTATCTACGTGGCTTTACCGAAAGAGCCAGAGAGTATAGTCTGCTAAGGCTACATGAGTGATATTTGTCTTTGGGGCCGTCCATAAATGACGTCACGCACCTAGGGGGGGGGGGTCAGACATTTGTGACGATGTGTGACGAGGGGGGGGGGTTGAGAAATGTTTGAGAAATGTGACGTCACATCAAAATGCGCAACTTTAAATAAATATAGAATTGTTATAACAACACTAATTGTGATAACAACACTCCTACAACATCGGAGTGCAGCGCCACATTAAATACGCACTACAATGACAATACTTTAAAGCGATTTGAAGCATGTTTTATTTTCAAAATGGAAATATGGTTTTTGGGGGGAGCTTTGTGACGTCATAAATTTAGCTGTGACGGTCCCACCTGATGACGGAGACTTGTGTTGCCTCCGAAACGTCGTGATTTATTATTTTATTTCTATTATTATTTCTTTTATTTTTATTGTTATTATTTATTTTTACCTACGTGACTTTACCGAAAAAACCTAAGAGTATGGAGGTCTGACTTTTTGTGACGCCGTGTGACAAGGGGGGGGGGGGGGGGTCAAAAATCGTCCAAAATTGCGTGACGTCATTTATGGACGGCCCCTTTGTGTCAATTGCCACCCCCATTAATTGTTAACTTGGCACACAGGGTACTGGACACACATGAAAATACTGGATATCTGTTTAAAAAGAGCTTAATAGCTCATCGGATTCCTCCAGTATGAATACATATTCTGATGATTGCAAACGTAGACGCGTTCGTTCCATCTCAAGGGAGTGTGTCTTCTAGTGAAATATTTCTTTTTAGCTAAATAAAAAAAATTCTGTTTCATTCTATTTTATTTATTTTATTTATTTGTGTGCATGTTCACCACAAGTATATGTGGTTAATGCAGACATGATTCCTTGCAAAAGGTTTTCGTTACGTGTGTTAACATCTTAACGCCTGTTTTATTGGCAGAAAAGGTTAAAACCTTATTCTTATATTTTGATATACTGGCAAGGGAGGTCCCCATGAGGTAGGTCCCACTTCCTGACGACGAAACGTCGTAATTTTTTATTATTATTTTCTTTGAACCTATCTACGCGACTTTACCGAAAGACCCAAAGAATAATAGGTCCCATTATATTTTGTTTCTTTAAAAATAAAATATCCACGCGTGACATGGCATCTTCCCGAAGGGGAAGACCACAAAACCCCCACCACCCCCCTGCCGCGTGACGTCACTCCCCGCCCCGCCCCTCCCATTATAACTCCCACTACGGATAAGCGCGCGCACGCGGGCTGCCCCCCCCCTCTACCCACCGCTCCCTGCAACGAAACGGCCGCGCCTATCCGCACTAGGTAATCTGATCGCACGGGGGGGCCGGCGAAAACATGGCGTACCAAGGCGGCTCGGGCGGCGTTGGTGGCGGCGGCGGCGCTGGAGGAGGCGGAGGAGGAGGCGGGAAGTAAGAGACGGAGACACACAGAGAGAGAGAGACGGACACGAGAGCGAGTGAACTTGTGAATGGCCGAGGCTAGAAACGTCGTCGTCGTATAAACGCGCCTCGCTGCGTGGCATTTTCTTCCCGCCCCCCTCCCTCGCCGCCGGTGTCCGCGCGGATTTCCTCCGTTCACGTGAATTATTCATCGAGGGAGGATGATGATGATGTTTTAGATGTATATAAGATGCGGGTCTCGCGCTGTTGTCGCAATTGTGGGTCACGTTGGGCCGTGAGGATGAGGAGACCCCTCGCCAACTCAAGGCGACGTTCGCTTCCGCCGATTTGTTGTGCGGAGTGTCAGCGAACCATTTCCGCAGACTCACTCCTCTAGTCGATGAGGTGGTGGTCTCACTCTTCTAGTAGATGAGGTGGTGGTCTCACGTCTCTAGTAGATGAGGTGGTGGTCTCACGTCTCTAGTAGATGAGGTGGTGGTCTCACTCCTCTAGTAGATGAGGTGGTCTCACGCCTCTAGTAGATGAGGTGGTGGTCTCACTCTTCTAGTAGATGATGTGGTGGTCTCACTCTTCTAGTAGATGAGGTGGTGGTCTCACTCCTCTAGTAGATGAGGTGGTCTCACGCCTCTAGTAGATGAGGTGGTGGTCTCACTCTTCTAGTAGATGAGGTGGTGGTCTCACTCTTCTAGTAGATGAGGTGGTGGTCTCACTCCTCTAGTAGATGAGGTGGTGGTCTCACTCTTCTAGTAGATGAGGTGGTGGTCTCACTCCTCTAGTAGATGAGGTGGTGGTCTCACCCCTCTAGTAGATGAGGTGATGGTCTCACCCCTCTAGTAGATGAGGTGGTGGTCTCACTCCTCTAGTAGATGAGGTGATGGTCTCACCCCTCTAGTAGATGAGGTGGTGGTCTCACTCCTCTAGTAGATGAGGTGGTGGTCTCACTCTAGTAGATGAGGTGGTGGTCTCACTCCTCTAGTAGATGAGGTGGTGGTCTCACTCTAGTAGATGAGGTGGTGGTCTCACCCCTCTAGTAGATGAGGTGGTGGTCTCACTCCTCTAGTAGATGAGGTGGTGGTCTCACTCCTCTAGTAGATGAGGTGATGGTCTCACCCCTCTAGTAGATGAGGTGGTGGTCTCACTACTCTAGTAGATGAGGTGGTGGTCTCACTCTAGTAGATGAGGTGGTGGTCTCACTCCTCTAGTAGATGAGGTGATGGTCTCACCCCTCTAGTAGATGAGGTGATGGTCTCACCCCTCTAGTAGATGAGGTGGTGGTCTCACTCCTCTAGTAGATGAGGTGGTGGTCTCACTCTAGTAGATGAGGTGGTGGTCTCACTCCTCTAGTAGATGAGGTGATGGTCTCATTCCTCTAGTAGATGAGGTGGTGGTCTCACTCCTCTAGTAGATGAGGTGGTGGTCTCACTCCGCTAGTAGATGAGGTGGTGGTCTCACTCTTCTAGTAGATGAGGTGGTGGTCTCACTCCTCTAGTAGATGAGGTGGTGGTCTCACTCTAGTAGATGAGGTGGTGGTCTCACTCCTCTAGTAGATGAGGTGGTGGTCTCACTCCTCTAGTAGATGAGGTGGTGGTCTCACTCTCTAGTAGATGAGGTGGTGGTCTCACTCCTCTAGTAGATGAGGTGGTGGTCTCACGTCTCTAGTAGATGAGGTGGTGGTCTCACTCCTCTAGTAGATGAGGTGGTGGTCTCACTCCTCTAGTAGATGAGGTGATGGTCTCATTCCTCTAGTAGATGAGGTGGTGGTCTCACTCCTCTAGTAGATGAGGTGGTGGTCTCACTCCTCTAGTAGATGAGGTGGTGGTCTCACTCCTCTAGTAGATGAGGTGGTGGTCTCACTACCTCTAGTAGATGAGGTGGTGGTCTCACACCTCTAGTAGATGAGGTGGTGGTCTCACCCCTCTAGTAGATGAGGTGGTGGTCTCACTCCTCTAGTAGATGAGGTGGTGGTCTCACTCCTAGTAGATGAGGTGGTGGTCTCACTCCTCTAGTAGATGAGGTGGTGGTCTCACTCTAGTAGATGAGGTGGTGGTCTCACCCCTCTAGTAGATGAGGTGGTGGTCTCACACCTCTAGTAGATGAGGTGGTGGTCTCACTCCTCTAGTAGATGAGGTGGTGGTCTCACTCTCTAGTAGATGAGGTGGTGGTCTCACTCCTCTAGTAGATGAGGTGGTCTCACCCCTCTAGTAGATGAGGTGGTGGTCTCACACCTCTAGTAGATGAGGTGGTGGTCTCACGTCTCTAGTAGATGAGGTGGTGGTCTCACTCCTCTAGTAGATGAGGTGGTGGTCTCACTCTCTAGTAGATGAGGTGGTGGTCTCACTCCTCTAGTAGATGAGGTGGTGGTCTCACTCCTCTAATAGATTCGGTGGTCTCACCCCTCTCGTAGATGAGGTGGTGGTCTCACCCCTCTAGTAGATGAGGTGGTGGTCTCACCCCTCTAGTAGATGAGGTGGTGGTCTCTCTAGTAGATGAGGTGGTGGTCTCACTCCTCTAGTAGATGAGGTGGTGGTCTCACCTCTAGTAGATGAGGTGGTGGTCTCACTCTCTAGTAGATGAGGTGGTGGTCTCACACCTCTAGTAGATGAGGTGGTGGTCTCACCTCTAGTAGATGAGGTGGTGGTCTCACACCTCTAGTAGATGAGGTGGTCTCACTCCTCTAGTAGATGAGGTGGTGTTCTCACTCCTCTAGTAGATGAGGTGGTCTCACTCCTCTAGTAGATGAGGTGATGGTCTCACTCCTCTAGTAGATGAGGTGGTCTCACCCCTCTAGTAGATGAGGTGGTGGTCTCACTCCTCTAGTAGATGAGGTGGTGGTCTCACCCTCTAGTAGATGAGGTGATGGTCTCACCCCTCTAGTAGATGAGGTGGTGGTCTCACTCCTCTAGTAGATGAGGTGGTGGTCTCACACCTCTAGTAGATGAGGTGGTGGTCTCACACCTAGTAGATGAGGTGGTCTCATGCCATCACCAGGCAGCAGACTCACCCCTCTAGTAGATGCTGGTGGTGGTCTCACCCCTCTAGTAGATGAGGTGGTGGTCTCACTCCTCTAATAGATGAGGTGGTGGTCTCACACCTCTAGTAGATGAGGTGGTGGTCTCACTCTCTAGTAGATGAGGTGGTGGTCTCACCTCTAGTAGATGAGCTGGTGGTCTCACACCTCTAGTAGATGAGGTGGTCTCACTCTCTAGTAGATGAGGTGGTGGTCTCACACCTAGTAGATGAGGTGGTGGTCTCACGTCTAGTAGATGAGGTGGTGGTCTCACTCCTCTAGTAGATAAGGTGGTGGTCTCACTCCTCTAGTAGATGAGGTGGTGGTCTCACGCCTCTAGTAGATGAGGTGGTGGTCTCACTACTCTAGTAGATGAGGTGGTGGTCTCACTCCTCTAGTAGATGAGGTGGTGGTCTCACCTCTAGTAGATGATGGTGGTGGTCTCACTCCTCTAGTAGATGAGGTGGTGGTCTCACTCCTCCACCAGCCAGCAGACTCACGCCTCTGGTGTGATGAGGTGGTCTCACGCCTGATGCCAGAGGCAGTCTCATGCCACCCCTAGACAATCTGACGCTTGATGCTTCAGTCGATGTCACCCCGTAACGAGGCCATTGTAAGTGTGGTAATAAGAGTTAATGCTGTATTTATTATTGCTGGCAGTTCTGAAAATGAGGCAACCTCAGTCAACTATGGCTTTTTCTTGGAATATGTTAATGATTTAACATTTGAAACAGAATGCTCGGTCACGACCGCAGCTTGACCTCAAACAGGAGACCGTCTGAGTGCATCCACAACATGATATTTTATAAATAACAAATAAGCAGACTCTCTGTCCCTGATATAGCCATCGCCACGTAAACACGGATTTGGACGCACGGCCTTGTGGGAGTGCATAATTTCAACATAATTGAGTCAAGAAAGGCAAACTCTGAACAGATTTTGCTATTCAGTGTCCCATCAGCAGAGTTAGGCTTGCTTGAATGTGTACTGGTGAACTGCCGATGTTACAGGCAAGGACCGTCTGTTTTTGATACGCGTCCTAATTTGACTTAAAATTATATAATATTTCACAATCACGAGCGTCATTGTGGAGAAAGGTTAACAAATTATAGCTGCAGGCCTAATTGGGTGAAATTCTTATCCAAGTAAGAAGCCACTTCCTAATTTTACTTGTGATTGGCCACATCTTTAAAAGTGTCTGACATGTACCGTACTTCCAAAATCATGGAACTGTGAAATCATGGAACTCAATGTCATGTCGCCACTCGGGCATTGCCAAACTTAGAGTGAGACGTCTATATTGCACATGTTTTGCGTCTTGACAATGGTGGCGAGAGAGTTGTTACATTTCCAATTACTGGTCATTAAAATAAAAACTCAGTACAATTAACGTGAAGTAAGCTTGAATTAATTTAAATGAAAATCATATTAATGGTTTTTGGAATGACATTTAAAGAACATTGTAAAATAGATGTCTTTCGACATTCGCAGATGGGAATGTAGTAGTGCATTTATTTCAGTTTTTACAGCTGCCTATCCCATTGCTGGCCATTTCGTATTCAACTTAATGGGGATTTTGTTTTGTGCATTTTCATTAAATTCCGTTTAACACTAGGCTTTTACTGAATCCCTACCACCTAATCAGCTCGACTTGAGATTTAATCGTTTGTGTTCCTACAATACTTGGAGTCAAATACAATTGCAATTGGGTACTTCGTAATGAATTAAAATTACACTGTAAAATTGTAAATGTAAATTCAGCTAATATTCTAATTATAATTGAGCCATGCTCTGATTCCTACCCCTCCAACCCTAACCTCCCCATACTTGGAAATCCTGCACCTTGTGTGGGTACGTGTCAACTTGGCTATGGTTTATCCAGGAAATTGTTACATTTCACTCACAAGGTCACTCTCTTTGACTGAGTGAAAAGTTATTGAGATTGATGAGTAACATGTAGCATGTTATAAAATACGTTTGCAACTAACATTGGGAGTACAGTACTCTCGAATTATAATAAATGTACATCGACTGCTGTGTTCAGTACATGCTGCATGCGTGTGATAGATTGCTAATGAAAATGTAATGTTTTATTTTAGCTTCATGTTTCCTGTTGGAGGAATGGGATCAACACAAGGTATGTTGTTTGATACTTTAATTGACATGTACCACCTTGAACAATATACATATGTAACATAAAGTGTGAAATTTGCTATTTAAGCACAATTGGTAATACATGCAGAAAAGCTAAAAAATAGGCAATAACTTTAAAACCTAACTTTGACACCTATAAAAATGTCATCTCACTCTTTTTGTTACTGCTGCGTTGTTCCAATTTAACCCCCTCTCACACAAACACCCTGCTCATCCAAGGCCCAGGTGTAGGGCCTGGCTTGCAGCCATCACAAGGAGGAGGCTATATGATGCCTCCAGGTGTGCAGATGCAGGCAGGCATGATGGGAGGAATGGGAATGGCCTACGGGGGACAAATGGCCTCGCATATGTCCCCGCAAGGAGCTGTATGCATGCAGGTACCAACGTCTGCACTGTCAGATTAAAGACAGGTCGAAAATCGTGCTAGCATTCATGTTACGTTGTAATTGAACTGTTACATAAGCATGAATATCAAATCCATTGCAATACATTTTGATTGCGTGTTTATTTAAAATACAGTTAAATTATAATCGTCAGATTGCACTGTGAGTAACAGATTGGTTTGTGAAATGCTTTGTACGTTTTGTCTATTCACAGGAGCAATTGTTATTTACGATGGTAAAAATGGGATGTGCTGTATTATGTCTTCCGGCCATCTATCTGCCTGTCATTTCATCTTTACTTTTTCATGCTTCTGATGGTTGAAATCGCTTGTTAAAATTCTCCAAAACTTGGTGGTTGTAAACGAATTCATTACTTAGCTACTTTTTTACACTAACAAAAATAATTTGTTGTGCTAAGCATATGACTTTTAATTGTAACCTTTTCGTCTTCAAGATATATTTGAAAAGCGCAATAGCATGTACATAAATTAAACAATACAGTAACGTACTGACTGGAAGAAACTGTTATTTTATTAACTAGTGTCTGTGATGTGTCATGTCCTTGTGTGCTCTATGGAATCAGGGTGGGATTCCCATGGGCATGGTCCAGTCTGGAGGCATGCAGTTCCTTGCCCAGCAGCAGCAACCCTTTTATCAAATCCGGTCATCTCAGCCCACTTATGCCGTGAGCCAACAGTAAGTGCTGTACGGACACTTAGCCATAAGTTCTAGATTTGAAGCTTTCGTGACTGCAAGGATTCATACTCTTAGTTTTTTCGGTAAAGTCACGTAGGTAAAAAAATGAAATTAAAATTAATAAAAAATAAAATAATAAAAATCACGACGTTTCGGAGGCAACACAAGTCTCCGTCATCAGGTGGGACCGTCACAGCCAGATTTGCTGTATCAAGTGAGGCAGGGATTCCAAGATGCAAGTTCTTAAATACAAGTTTATCAGAATGTGGTAGCCACATTCTGATAAGCTCCCCCCCCCCCTCCCCCTTAACTTGTATTTAAGAACTTGCATCTTGAAATCTCTGCCTCACTTGATACAGCAAATCTGGCTGTGACGGTCCCACCTGATGATGGAGACTTGTGTTGCCTCCGAAACGTGGTGATTTTTATTATTTTATTTTTATTAATTTTCATTTCATTGTTTTACCTACGTGACTTTACCGAAAAAACTAAGAGTACTTAGCCATAAGCTTTATTTTCTCCAAATACATTCCAATACCATGCTTGAGAAAATAAGTAACTTGTCTTTAAAGTTCTTGTAATTCCATTTTGTCAAGGCAAGCCCCATCGCACGTGATGAAATCTCTTTGCATGATTTTTTTGTTCGCATTTTTGAAATCGGCGTCCTTTTGAAAATACAACTGGCTTGCCAAAATATCACTGCTTGGCACAAAAATATCACTTCTTGAAAAATAAATTCTGATTGATGTGATGCCATTAATTTCTTGTGATTGTTTACAATTTCACGTTTCTTTCACTGGGTGAAAGGAAGCTGGCAGAGGAGCAGCAACGGATGATGAAAGAACAAAGAAAGAGGGAAGAACAGGATAGGAAGAGAAGACAGTTTGAAGAGCAGAAACACAAATTGCGGCTGATGAGCAGCTCCAAGCTCAAGGTATTCAGAGATTTGAGCTTCATGTATCACACATGGCTGGGCCATTTTATGTATCACTAGCGGTTAGTACCCGGCGTAGTTACACACGCAAATCCATTGATACACACACAGAGTTACACGCACAAATGGACTCACACATACATACATAGACTGAACAACAACAACCGCCATTCGCCACTAAGTGGCGGTGACGTCACAACAACGCTTGTGCCAGGCTATGTGCACCTTGAGGCCACGTGAAGTGTCGAATGCCCGCTGGCAAGAGGTCACGGGGCAGACCCAGATGGCACAGGTCGACTGACTGAGACGACTGGCTGATGCACCACCTGTGTCCCCTACTGTGGCAACTTTCTGTGCTTTAGCCACCCGGCGCTCCGCTCGTTGTTGTGAGCGTCGCTCCTCCGCCCTCCGTTGGTGCGATACATGATGGTATAGATAATTATGTCAGTGGAGAATGTTTAATCTTGGAATTTTGTGTCAATTGGTGTCTATTTCAGTTCAGAGTTGTGTTCCATCTTTTATTTTTTTTGTTGCTTTATTTTATGTCATGCTAATTTGTAGGTCAGAGGCCTAAAATAGGTATTCGAATACTAGCATGCCAAAGGTAATCGAAGTGGCTGTTGTTGGTATACGATAATACAATTGATCATAATGTTCTCGTGAGTTTCACGAAAATATTGGACAATTGTTTTTATCCTGTTTGGAATCTGCCTCATGACCGAAACATTACCGATGCTTTGCCGGAATAATTTGAGTAAGTTTTCCATGCAGAAGGAATAGATTCTAGATTTGAAGTTTTCGTGACTGCAAGGATTGTTTTTTTCGGTAAAGTCACGTAGGTAAAAAAAACAAAATGAAATCACAAATTAAATCAATAAAAAAATTTAAAAAATTTATTTAGTTCTCATTATTTTATTTATTTTATCTGTGGTTGTATTTAGTTGTTTTCATGTTTATTATTTTTTACCTACGTGACTTTCCCGAGTAAGGAATAGATTCATTTGTCCACACATGGATACACTACTATTGAAGTACTTGTATATCTGTTGGCTCTCTAAGAGCACCCTTGCTGAATAATTCCACCTTTGTGAAACGTGTTTTTATTATTTTTTATGCAATGATAGGCAGTTGACAAGCGTGATGATGCCTTGGAGGCCATAATGGGCAACATTGCCGGCTTCACGCGGCAGGCAAAAATCCAGCACCCTTCTACACCTCACAAGACCGGTGTGAACGCATTACCCCTCTCCCTTATTGATGTTTGACTTTTGTACATGTGCACCGCCATAAACTGTGACCTTTTTAAAGGTAATTTGATCACTGCAAAAAGCTTAATGTCACTCCAAAAAATAATTACAAACCATGTAACGTTAAGAGTTTCGAAGTCATCTGATAATAGTTTGTTAGATATTTGAGAACCTTTACAGTATTATATATGAACAGGATTCTTTGTAAAAATATATAGTTGAGCTATATTGCAGTGATTTTATATTTTTATTTGGGTCACAAGGTCAGTATTCCAGTCTGTTTGCTGTGGCTCAATGCGCACAAGTTATATTCTGTCATTTATAAATACATACCTAGTTCACCACAATTGCCAGTGAAATAATACGTAAATGAAAGTGTAGAAATTGCTTACGAAGTTTGGCCAACCTTCAAGACATCTTAGTATTTTGTATAAGCAGAATTATACCACGTGTGCGTATTCTGTTGATATGTTGTTGTTACAGTGAAATCTGTTGGCACCTTTATATACCCATATTTCAACTATTTTTATTTTTCTATATATTATGAAAATGTCTTGTTAATATGCGTATAAAATATGTAGATACATGTTCAACTTGTGATGATTTCCAGCTGTTATTGCACGCAGGTTTCACTGTCATTTGTTTTTTTTTGTTGCAGTGTGGTTTTCCTTGTTTGTCATTTTGGTATTGTGTTTGCCTCCAGATGTTCCCAAGCAGCCTCAACCCTCACACCCTCCAGCCTCCAGCCCTGGTCGCCCATCCCAGATTCTTATCCCCTCCCAGAACCCTGCCCCGTCCTCAGCATTTGGTGGTGGCACTTCTATGCATGGTTCCTTCCCTTCTCACTTTTCCACCTCATTACCGCCTCCTAAGGCAGTTTCTCTGGCACCAGCTGCTACAGGGGATTTCGCAGATTTCTTACCGGGCCCTATCGCTTCCATCCCGACCATGTCTGCCGAGACTTCCATCCATTATCCCAGCCACGATGTCCCTGCGGTCTCTGACGCTTCTTTGCCACCTCCCTCCTCAACCCAATCCTATAGTCTCAGTGCTTCTTCACATTCCTTTAACGATTCCAATCGCCCAATATCAGCACCACCTTCTATACACCCCACTGCCCAAGGTAAATCTTGAGCAGCTTAGATTTCATATTTTTGCATGCCAAATTAACGTACAGGCATACACATCACCCGGCATGTGTTTCAGTATGAAAATGGAGCATGTTTTAAACATTGTCTTTTGCTGGAATGGTGACGCTACAGAATCGACATATTCCGTTTTTATTTTGTCATCGCATTTGTTAAGTGCTGTGAAGGTTATTCATAAGTGTGAGTATCTGTCTTCTGTTTTAGCAGTGCCAACATCAGTAGCTCCAAGCTTTTCAACGCAGGACACCCTACAACCTTTGCTACCTGCCTGGCTGTTCAGTGACAGCCTAGTTCCCGGTATGTCTACATTTTGCAGTGCTTTTTTGTGCCCCGAATGTCGGTATGTAGCAGTCACAAATGTCAGATGTGTAAGTCGTCACTTATCGCTTGTTCGTACAACGTGTTTTCACTATTAGGGAACATTTTCGCACAACGCAAAACACGGCCGTTATAACACAGAACGCGCTCCATAATAACGTGGAACGTGTGCCCCTTTATAACGCGGAATGTGACCTGTTATAACGTGGTTTCTGAGCGGTCGACGATGAACTACTTAAGCTGTGCGGCTGAGTGGTATGATACAGTACGCGGAAATGGTAGAGTAACCGGCTTATTTTGTGTGCGTACATCATATCTCGCCAAAATGTATTGTTCTTCACCTGAGGACGGCTGCTTGCGCTGTGGCCGAAACGTCGTGAGAATTGTATTTTATTATGTTTTATTTTTATTATTTTATTATTTCCCTTCTATGTGACTTTACCGAAAGAATCAAGAAGATGTATCGTTCTGTTTATGGGTAAATTGTTTTTGGCCAGCGAGTTTTTTGCGGCACTTTTCAGGAGCGATGCATCTACCGCGTTAAGCGAGGACTTACTGTAGTGTGAACAACACTCTTTAATCTGTGAAATTTAACAATAAATATTGTACAGAACAACATGTCGGTAACTCCCTGGCTGCTTATATTAGCACACTGCCATTTTCTGCATCGTAATACTTGGCCAGTGTGAAAATACATCGGAACTTCGATATGCTTAAAACATTAAGTAGAATGTTTGTGCTGTATGCTCAAATATCCATTTTATTATGGCAACTAGCAATATGTTAGGTACACTATCGATATACGCTAGAATATATGACCAAATCATTGGGAATACAACTGATCTGGTTAGATCTAAGAAGCTCAGTAGAATTTAACCTGGATAGTGCTTGGATGGTTAGTCACCATAAACAACAAATCGTTCTAGGATGCAGGGCTACATTGTGGGCAGCAGAGTGCAGTGCAGACAATCCATCATATTCTATTTATGCTCCCCACCTTCAAACTACAATTACCTGCACAGTAAACTTTGGTCAAATAACACCCACGACCCACATGGCAGAGGCAGGCCCTCATCCATCAGTGGATTGACAAAAGAGCCATACATCTACTCTCTAATGTGCTGAATGCTATTCAAGGTTTAAAGATACTCATGAATATTCCCTACATGTTTACTTAGGGAATGTGCCTTTTTGTTACAGACGTGTACAGAAAAGTGCTGGAGAGCAGTATGTGTCCAGCGGGAATCGACACATCGAAGCTGTACCCAATCCTGTTGTCGTCTGGGCTTCCTCGTGAAACGCTGGGTCACATATGGGCCCTGGCCAACCGTACTTTGCCTGGGCAGCTTTCCAAAGAAGAGCTGTACATGGTGCTAGCCCTCGTCGCGATTTCTCAGGTACACAATTTCTTTTTTGGCAATTTATATTCCAGTTGTGCTGTTGGTGACATGAGACAAGTAACTTTCCAATCAGAACTCTGCCTTCAAGCTGGGTGCACCACCATGTGACGGAGAATGGGCCCAAACGATGACATCAAGTCACATCTTTTATATTAGATATATTTATTATTAGCTGAAAAGAGTGTCGCATATCAAACCGAATTAAATGACAAACCAAAATGTAAAATTATTTTTGTGCCATCATTGGTGACTTGGCTGAGACAGTCAACTTGATGTGCGGGAGAAATCGATTTAACCACTAGTAGTTGAAATCAGAGATTGAACCCTGTCCTCAGTGAAGCAAGCTCGGTAGGAGCTACCTGTCACTTCAGCATGCATGTTGTTTATGTACTTTTTGGTTCTTTCGGTAAAGGCACGTAGGTATAAAAATATAAAATAAAATATTTTAAACCTACGTGACTTTACAGAAAGAGCCAAAGAGTATGGATTTCTGCAGTCACGAAAGCTTCAAATCAAGATTGTTGTTTGTGTTACACAATGCAAATACTTAATGTTCTTGTTTTTGTTTTGTGCATTTGTTGGAAGAGAGGGGCATCTATGGTCAGTTTGGAGAGTCTGGGCCAATTCCCAACACCGCCTGTCCCAACGCTCAACATCCCAGCCTCCACAGGAATGCAGGCCACTCCCAGCCCAGCTCACGCGAGTGTCTCCTCTACACAAGGCTTGACTCCACAGCTGGTCCCCATCACTGGCCGGTCAATGAGTGGAGGGACCGCCTTGACCCTCTCGGCCACACACAGCCCCGCTCACATGTCCGTCGGTGCCAGCGGTCCCCTTCCCAACTCCTCAACAATGTCTTCTGCCCCTTCGGTCATTGGTTCCTTTGCTGGCATGCAGGTACGACTCGGTGAACATACGGTTGATTAGTCTCAGCTGTGCATCCTTGAGTTTCTATACCTTTAAACTGTTGAGCGCTCGCAGAGTATGATGCACTTGTGTTATTAAGTCACTTGCATGACAATTATTTAACTTTTTCGTTTAAATGTTTTCCTGCAACAAAAATGAGAATATAAGATTTCATACTTGAGGACGCTAATTTCATTACATATTTCCCAGCCGGGCGCATCTTACACAACAGCACTAACATAAATGTCGACTAATATCGCTGGTGCTGGCAACTGACCCAGCCTTGTCATCTTTTTGTTGCAAGAATGAATGAATGCTCGTATCCTTGCAGGTTACTTCCACTGAGATTGATGATTTCCAGGATTTCCAGTCCGCTTCAGCTTTATCCCCTGAAGGATTCGGAGACTTCCAGGCAGCTGGACCCCAGATACCAGCAGATACTCGGTAAGCTTCTCATAATATGATTACCATTTGGTAATTTGATTTGCAAATGATAAACACTCATCGTTTTAAACATCAATGATGATACAATGATTATTTACAGCCCTTTGTCAATCCACTGTTGGATGAAGGCCTTCCTCCTCACACAATGTTGGTCATGGCTGTTCTTGGACCATACTTTACCATGCTGGTCAGTGCAGGTTGGTGAAGGGGGGAGCCCAGATCCTGTTTAGATATCACTTGCCACTGATGTTAGCCGTGACTGGGAATAAAACTGTGGTCAGTAGGTTCACAAAAAACAGTGTGTCAACCACTGCGCCGTCGCTCTACCACCATTTTTGTTTAAATCTGGTTTATTTTATTTCAATCCATTTATATGAAAGACATGACGGTGGTGTACTCTGAATGACTGAGAGAATGTACTCCAAAGTTAAACAATGTTTAAACGCTGCTCAGCTTTGGATGAGGAGCAAGACGGTTGACTGTGTCCTTGCAGGGCATCCTGGGCCACCCCGATGGTACCCAGCTCAGTGCCTGCGTCAGCAGTCCCCGTGCTGTCAGGCTCTGACAAGTACGCCGTGTTCCGCGAGATAGAAGACAGCCCCAAAGAGGTGCCTGAACCCCCTCCAGGTACCGAGTCAAAGACACCGATCTTCTCATATTCCCTCCAGCCTGCCTATTTCTCCTTTGGGTAGAGCTGTGCTACGTTTCCATGACCTACTGGTAAATGGGTTCATTGGCCCAGGAATGGTCCAATTGTGTTCCAAGAGAAGAGAAAGCATGGTCGAACCATGGGCAGGGGGGAAGCAATAATATTGTTTTCTTCAATTTGAACAAGTGTTAACATATACTTGGGCAAGCTACATCATCTTAAGCTAATATCTGTAAATATTTTGTGTAAAAAATCAAACACATCCTTGACATTTGTGAAAGAGAGCTTCATATCTCATCGGATTCCTCCAGTATAAATTAATATTCTGTGCCTGATTCTAAGTGAGAGACACCAAATCATGGCTCGCATCTCGTATCTGTTGACCCCAGTACTGCACAGCGTTTTCCAAGAGCATTGTGGCTGAAAGCACGTGACATATTTGGTAAAGCCACTTAACTCAACCCAGTATGAGAGGACCATGTGGCCATGTTACTGCTCTCTTGGCTGGGTAAGGCTGCACTTGGAATCCGGGCTTGTACGTAGGTACGTTGAACTTATTTCGCACCGTACGTAGCCAACTGTGCGAATCTGAGGTACGGGGGAAGGACAACAAACTAAACACAAAAAGCAGTTTTGTGAGCTTGGCCCACTGGCTTATTTCGTGAACGGTGCCGGCCCAATATTAAGTGGTCATGGGAACGCAGCATCAGCGGTTGTGGTAACGCTGCTTTTGCGCTTAAAACGAACAGGTAATTGCTGTATTTTAAATTAAATTGCCGCAATGCAGCTGCGCCTGTAAATGCTAAGTGATTTGCCTGCAATTGTGCGTTGCAGACCCGTCAGATAAATACAGCGTTTTCCGCTCCCTGGAGGCTTCAGCAGCTGCAGCGAATGCAAGTGTGTACTGGTGAATCGCTCAAGAGTAGGGGTGTACAAATTTATGGAAGTGCTGTCCAGAACATTCAGTACAGTTTTAATGAGATGCAAACATTGAAAACATAGTTTGGAGAAAACAGAAATGTTTTTTTCTTGCAAGGCACGGGAATGAATAAATAGGATTACCAAGTGAACAAAGTTTACCGAAACAAAAAGTAAAGAGAAAAAAAACCAGCACACGCTATAATGAATAAAACAAACTTTGCCGAAAGTATTCGGTGAAGCATTCTCAGTGCTTTGATTTTTCTGGATACAGCCAAGTGTTTGTTCTCCCCTGCTTTTGAGTCGTCTATTTAAAGCTACGACACTTCTGCCTTTGCGTATAAAACCACTGATGTGTCACAACAAGTCTAAAAAAAAACAGTTTGCAGAAATTGAATAATGCCATTAAGCATCTAAAGAGTCCCTTTCGAAAAAAAAAACAACGCTTATTGTTTTGAGTTATTTCATAGGCCACTTCGTTTTTGTTACAAACAAAACAATGTTGCTAATGGATGTAGCATGCCTGATAAGTCTGAAGTGCTCAACGCAATCCTGCCCCACAGCTTATTTAAATAATATTTTGCTAGATTAAGGAATAAACACGCAGGCTGTCCTATACTTCACACGGACTAACATCGTCTTGTTTTGACAATTTCATTGGCTTAATATATCAATTTCAGACTTTTTGTTGTGAATGGCCAATGCATATCACTGCGAATTCGTGTCGGTTATATACTATAATATTTATGTTTAACCCTATAGGTCTGTTATCGTTTGTGTTTTTGTGCTTTGACTTACTGTTTACACTGTTGATTTAATATTAGTTGTCACTAACTTATTCTGTATCAAAATGCATTGTTGAAGTAAATAAACTGATGTTTATCCAATCAAAATCTTGCTGAATGAAATAACAGTCATGCTGATTTATTTTGTTTTATTGTATTTTCATTTCTTTCTGGCTTTGGTGGTTGGGATACTAACAGCATTACTAACGCATGCGGTGGACATATACACATGAGATGCATTCAAACGACCTTTTTTGTACTTCATTTTTTAATTATTTACTTTCTAAGTGCCATTTAAATACAACTACTGGTAATATTGCTTGTTCGTTTAGTTATCCTCTGTGCTTCTTTGCTTTTGAAGTCTTAATTTATTTACTAAAAGCGTTTCGAGCAATGGTTAATACACAAAACCTGTCCATAGTTTTTGAAACCCTGAACATGTACCTTCCAGTCACATTTAAACTGCTCATATACACTCTAATTGTGAGAATACAACAACCATTCTTACTAAACATCAAGGGGAGTTGAAAACTTCTGATGTGCTTCAGTGATGTGTTTCCATGAAATGTGCTGCAGAGACCAAATTTAGATGCCAGGTATTCCGTAATGCGTAAGCGCAAACCAAGTTTTTAAAAGAACTATATTACGAACATTATCTAGACGTGTAAACTCTGAAAGCGCCGACACACGACACAAGGTGCTCGCACGCATTTGGACAATTCAGCAGCAGAGGGCAGCTCAATGCAGGCTTGGGCAGTAACCCGCGAATGCGTCTACACTTCGATTGGATTAACAAACTCTCTGTTTCTGCCGACATAAATGCGAACATAAACTGGCACTGAATGCAGTTGTAGCGTCAGGTCAGTAACAACTTCTAAACTTTTGCATGCCTTTATCTGTTTTCCTTGCACGTGACTTTTGCCGTTCTGCATGGTTTACTCAATGCATTTTGATCATATGATCATTGCAGATACCTTTTAATTCAATATATAGTCCAATTCCTGTCTTGTTGATGGACGTTATCTGGAATGATTTATTTTTTGGTGAATAGTTGTTCCGTTTGTGGAATCGGCATGGCTTATTTCTGAAAAATGTGGCAAAATGTCTTTCAGCAAGCTGGCAATTGAGTCTATAATATTTAAACTTTAATTCATATTATAATTGTCCAGTTTCATCTAATGTTACAATGATATTACTTCATACGGTAATAGGTTCCTGCTTTTTCAACTATATACAGGTTAAAGAAAGCCTATTAAATATAAAGGCTCATTTTTATTAATAATGGTAAACATGATTATTGTCGTAACATTTTTCAGAATAAAAATTCTGAAAAAAAAAGTTATTTATCCTGAAAGGTCAATTTCATAATTGTATTTGCATATATTCAATACCTACAATTTGTACTTGCATATCACTAGCTGGCAGTAATACGTCGTCACCGCAGTGATATTTTGTCATTTTGCTGTGAAGGTGAAGACCCGGTTGTGACAGCAGTGCCCACTGCCAATTCAGAAGACTTTGCCGATTTCCATGGCGCTGTAGATGCCCCTCCTTCATCCATCAATCCTCCACCATCGAGGATAACGCCAGCCGCGGTCTCGGCTGCGAAGGGTGGCAGCCTGACCGCTGACTGCTTCCAAGAGTCACCGCCCACAAGACCAGTGTGGGATGCACCACAAATGTCAGGTTTTTCCACTTTTCCCCCTAAGTCAGGTGACACATTCTGCTAGTGGTGTTGGACATCGTTCGGACACTGCCACGCCCCCTCTTATATCCGAAGTGAAAGACGGTTCCACCAAGGCGTCGAGCGATGGTTTTGCCGACTTCACGTCTTTTTCTGCCTTTCGCGGAAATGAACAAATTCAGGAGGAAAGTCCGTTCGCAGCTTTTAAAGGTAATTATGTAGCTTTTGTCTATTGCACTATCCATTTTTTGCTTTGTATGGCTCATTGCACTATTCTTTTTTTCAGTGTTTTCTATGATGAGTATATGCTACAAGTCATGTTTGTTTTTATATTACAACAATTTAGATTTCCGGGAGGTGCTTCCCAGGCAGGGTGAAGCTGAAGACAAGTATAGCATTTTCAGGCAGCTCGCCCAGGACACACCTCAATCTGTGGAGGACCCAACTAAAGGGTCACTCGGCATTGCCATGGTGGGCAGTGAAGAATACGAATTTTCAGACATGCAGGCAAGTATTTTCAAGTGCGTCGGCCATCGCACAACTTTGTTTCGTAGTTTAAATTTGTTCTGTATTTAAAAGCGAAACTGTGTTACAATTACTCACTTGCTTAGGGTCCACTGCCTGATGCCACACAGTCCAGCAAGCCGTTCGGAACTCCGGTGGCATTGCGTTTCAACATGCGGGAGGACACCGGCTCCGTGAAGTCTCTGGAGCTGCCGTCGGTGGGACGTGACGACTCTGACGACGCTTTGTCCGTCTCGTCGGCGGCCGCGGTGGCACCTGCCACGTCCTCTGCCCCCGCGCTGGTTGGAGGCGGCAGCATGGCGCGTCTGTGCCTGCGGGAGGACAGCGGTTCGGTGAAGTCGCTGGAGCTGCCGCCATTGGCGGGTGTCCTGACCGGGCGCGACGACTCGGATGACGTGGCCTCCCTGTCGTCTTCCGAGCCCCGTGCGTCAGGCTCACTGGCTGACCTGCGCCACGTGACGTCGGACAGCTCGCTCGACCTGCCAGCCACGGTCAACCCCGGCCAGCAGCTGCAGAGTTCAACGGGTAACGGGGATCACTCTGTGCGCCAATTTATACTGTTGATATGACATCGGAAACTAAAATTTAACCACCGTTCTGTGGCTCATTACAGGTTGTGGCTCATTACAGCCTGCCGAGAGTACATGGACATTTGGTAACAGCTTTTATTTGACCATATTTTTCAGCTTGAATTTCAATTAACAGATTATAGTGTTGGCACATTTTTACTCTATTAGCTTTTAGTTTATTTGTGCAAGACTTAGGAGGTAAAACTATTTTAATTTGACCAGCCAGGTGACATTTTACGTGATTTATGTACATTTGAATGCACTTTGTGTACAGAATGTTGAAAAATAACTTGTGTTTTCACCATACACCATCAATATATAAACGTAATACAGTACAAATTACTTTCTCCCCAATTTTTTTCCAAATTGTGATGTCAGTGTAATGTCAAGAAGTGCAATGCATGTTAGAGAAGTGCCCACAGAACCAGATATTGGATGACTACCTCTGAAATCCCTTAAAGTTACCTGATCTACACAATAGAGGGCAGCACTTCTCCATTCACTCTTGTCATGTGAGAGTAATTTCCATCACAAGACAATCAAACTGATATTTGAATTCTCCAAACTTGGAATTTATCCAGATTAAGTTGCAGAACCAAATGAAATTTTATGTCTTTTTGTCTAATTGATGGCGAGGCAGAGACTATGAACTGACGACACTTCAGTCCAGTTTAATCATGGGCGGCTCCCTGGATTCAAACCCAGCATCTCAGCGGCGGCGGCTCGGCACTCTGACCTGACCCACCTGGTCAAATCTAATGTCTAGATTTGAAGCTTTCGTGACTGCAAGGATTCATACTCTTAGGTTTTTTCGGTAAAGTCACGTAGGTAAAAAATAAAATTAAGTAAAATAAAAATAAAAATCACGACGTTTCAGAGGCAACACAAGCTTCCGTCTTCAGGCTGGAACAGTCACAGCACGATTACTTGATACAGCAATCGTGCTGTAATTTTTTACCTACGTGACTTTACCGAAAAAAAACCTAAGAGTACAAATCTAATGTGTTATGCACTTATCAGTATACATATTGTGAGGATTCCTTTGCTAAATATACAATAACAGCAAAGATGTTGCTATTTGTAACCATTATACCGTATCTCTGTAGACTCCGGATCTAAATGATCTGACGTGTGAACATTGTGCACAGATCTGGAGGAGATGCGGTTTGATCCGTTTGGGAGCTTTGGCGGTGAATCGTCTGGGACCAGCAGCCTGACTGGCTATGACTGGTCTGAGCACCAGGATGTGACCACACACAGCCGGCACAAGACGCACGCACAAAAAATTGAGGTAGGGTTGGTGGGTGCTCGCGTACAAAACACTGATCGTCAAGAAACATTTTTATCGATTACTGAAGCGTGTTTTTGTTTTTTAAACGTCAGCAGCAAATGCAATATCACGTGTTGTTTACTCATCACAAATTCCCCAACTTAAAAAAGGCAATCTGTTCTTTGCTATTTCTGGCCTTGCAGCTATCTTTAACCATCCTCCAAATGCCACTCACAGCCCAGTGCCCATTAATAACGATTGATTTCCAACATTTTAACAGCCAAACTATGTGGTTGTAGAATATCATGTCTCTACTCAGGATTTACATCCAGCTGCTGTCACAAGACCTTACACAGACTTTACATTCATTATTATCTGCCCATTTAATTTCATAAAAGGATGGTGCCAATTTTCCATTTGCCAGGGTCAACAGCAATCCACGGATAGTGACTTAAAACAAACCTAAAAGCCTGCTATTTCATAATTTCAACACAAAGGCTCAGAATCTTGGCAGTCTTCTTGGTTCTTTCGGTAAAGTCATGTAGAATAGAAATAATAAAATAATAAAATAACATAAAAACGTAATAATATAATATAATAATATAATATTCTACGTGACTTTACCGAAAGGACCAAGAAGATGAATCCCTGCAGTCACGAAAGCTTTAAATAGAAATCTTGGCAGTGTTTTATTTTGTCTATAGCTATTGGTGACATGTTCGCATGCATGTTGAACATCTTTCGCACCATACGTAGCCAAACACGCTAATCGTGCTGTTCCTTTTCAGCGACCCGAGGGGCGGAAGGCTCAGCCTCAGTTTTTTATGGGGGCAGAGAAGCCCACGCGCACTGGCGTGGCGCTGCATACCGCCAGCAGCAATGAGAGCCTCCCATCAGCGTGTGGCGCTGGAGAGACGGTGACCGTCACGGAACCAGTCGGTGCTGAGGATGAGTTTGGAGACTTTGCGAGCACGGTGTGTTTATACAACGCTCCAAAGCTGTCACTTGCACCGAATAGGCTCACTTATCCCAGGCCCAGTGCTCTATCTGGAGGTGATCAGCTACATCGGATCATTCTTTCCTGCATCAGTTTTTATTCTTTTTAAGAACAATATACCTCACATTGATCAGCAAAGTAAAAAAAATACATGACTGATATGCTGTGGGGAGACCTTCAACCATTGGTGGGTTGAGATGGCTGGAATTTATTTTATTTATATATACTTGTTTACACGTGTAAAATATGCTGAAGATGTCCTTACCATTTTGTAGACTCACTAGTATCATGTATTTAGGCCTTCTACCTCTGCTCCCTTATAATCAGCCATACCTTCCAATGTTATAAAATTGTTCTGCCTCAAATAGAAATATTTCCTGAAAGCCATTTTTCTTATCGCTTAGCTTTCGATAACTTTATTAATCATCATTGTTGCCTACTACCATAGTATTCAATTGTACATTTTGTTGCATATCGCTGATGCTTTTAAGGCTCTTAACTGAACATGTTTGTTGCTGATAATGATGAAGCAGGAAGGCAAGAAGGCAGGTGCCCCTACTACTCAGCTGGAGGATGGCGTGAAGGAGGAAGGCCGCCGCGCCAGCAGATTTGACTTCCTGGCTGTTGCCGGTCAGTCCCGCGTGCGGTCAAGCGAGGAGATGATCCGTAGCGAGCTGGAGACCTTCGACCTGGCTGTGCAAGGTAGGCAGTGAAGTTCCCCTACAGCTCAAATGCCTCGCTCTGACTTGCCAGGGTGGCCTCGATGCCCTGTTTTTGTTGTTGTATTTCAGAGATGAACAAGTGATTAATTGTTATAAACATGTGACTGGTAAAGCCCAAACCATATAACACATCACCGATGAGTGCGCCTTCCATGCACATCCTGGCGGTATCGCTGCCATCCATACAGCATCCACTGCCGCCTTGGATTGGTTGAAGGACCTTAACATTCAACTATGACATCTGTACAAACTGTTGCTTACATGCCAAATGAAAGAAGAAGCCTGTTATAAAGAATATATGCAAATGTTAGTTTTAAATACATATCATAGGAATGGTACCATATGTAGACTCATCACTAAAATCGGTTTATTATATAAATGCCACTTTCAAGAGTTTCTGCTGCTGACAATATAATTTAAAAGCTGATGTCTAAGTTTGCCCAACAAGTTATTTCTACCCAGCTATTAAACAAAAGTAATTGTGAAAGTTCCTCATGGCTCTCTGTCTGCCAGATATCTTTTTGTTTTAAGCTTCAGCGACTTGCTGTTCAGCAGCAGCGGCGGCAGCGTTCAAGGCACCGTTTACGTTTTAGTACCCTCACGTTCTAAATTTTTGTGTCATTTGGCAAAATACTACGACAGCTGGTGCCACACACAAGCGCAGCCTGAGTCTGGATGAGAAGGAAGGGCATATCCCAGCTGCCCCTGAGCCACAGCCGATGCCACGCGAACGCTCCAACACCCTCAGTGAAAAACCAGCGTTTCCCATCATCCGCGACAAATACAAGGACCTCACAGGGGAGGTGGAGGTAAAAGTGACCTCTGTCCCTGCACCGCCGACGGATTTGTTCAATGTTTCATATTCTTAGGTTTGAATATGAATCATTGCAGTCACGAAAGCTTCAAATCTAGAATTGTTCAATGTTCACCAGGAACGTCACTGTTTTTGAAAAGCTGACGTGGTTTGTTTTTGCCGTTGCACCTCTTCGCAGGAGAGTGAACGTTACGCATACGAGTGGCGACGGTGCCTTAAGAGTGCGAAAGAGGTAGGGCTGCTTTGTATTTATCATCATCGGCCACGGTTATCACGATGCTGAATGTGAAGGCTTCACCAAGCTGGAATCTGCTGACATTGCTGCTTAAAACCTAAATGCTTTAGTATGATTATGGTCACTGAAGAAATTGTGATTTTCAAGCACAGTAATTTTTTATATGAAACTAAAATATTAACGAAGAATATTATTGTTCACATTGTCTCGGTCAGATCTTCCTCACTTCAAAAACTCAAAAGAAAATGTCGTTTAATGCGGGCACTTTGAGAAGTCTATTTAAATACGATGTGTTGGCACAAAATGTTCCCAAGTACTGTTTTAAGTTGCAGCTGTTGCATCTCACCCAGCTGCCTTGCTGTGTATTTGGCAGGTGATTAAGAAGGCCAACACTGTGCTGAATGGCATCAGCAGTTCTGCAGTGTGCACTGAAGTCATCCAGTCTGAGCAAGGCATGGAGTATCTGACAGGTCGGCTTCGAGCACCTACAACCGTAGCAGTGGTGCACAATTAACAAACATCCAAACACATTAATTCTAGATTTGAAGCTTTCGTGACTGCAAGGATTCATACTCTTAGTTCTTTCGGTAAAGTCACGTAGGTAAAAAATGAAATTAAAATTAATAAAAAAATAAAAACAATAAGGTCGTACCACTTGGGACTTCTCTCCACTTGATACAGATTTTTTGCTGTGACAGTTTCACCTGAAGACGGAAGCTTGTGTTGCCTCCGAAACGTCGTGATTTTATTGTTTTTATTTTTTATAAATTTTAATTTCAGTTTCTTACCTACGTGACTTTAACGAAAGAACTAAGAGTATCCAAACACATTCATCAATAACGGTGGCCTTAAAAGGAAAACAAAATGGTGACGTTTCAGGCAATGGTTTGAAGGGTCATTGTCCAAAATAAAGCCAATTATATTTGTTCCTGACTAATGTAGTGTTATTGACAACCGAGTTTTTTGTTATAGCAAGCACTCAGTGCACTCAGTGCTTGCTATAACAAAAAACTCGGTTGTCAATAACACTGCATTCATTGTTTTGCATCCAGCCAGAAAAGTGCGTATTGTAGCATCTGAGCGCTCGCGCACAACTATGATATTGGAAGGATTTATGAACAAAATACGATCTGTCAGTTTGCTTTTAAATGTAATGATTATTAACATTTCTAAATAGAGAGTAAAAACAAGTCAATTCGAATTTTATGCAGTTCAGATTGTGAGAAGTTGGGATGTTTGGAACATACAGCATTTCTCTCAACGCATTTATGCACATTTACGCACTTTTAATTAAAGAAGTAAAACTAAAACATACAAATATACTTACATTATGAATATTTTTAAAATGTCTTTTCTCTTCCTCGGAGACATTTTTAATGCTCATTTTTAATCCTTCCTGTTCTGAATCTTATACATTTGGTGTGCAATCTCAAACCATCAGCACCAACCATCCCCATCCTCCCTCGCCATTGCACCACCCCACTCTGGGATGCTGTACCACAACCGCTAGTGCATTTTTACACTTCCCCCTTTCTGGCCATCTGCCATTTCAACCACAGTACGTAGGACACAACAATTTCCTCCCGTGCATTTCTCAATGATTCGGATGATTTTTGTATCGTCTACTTTTTTTTCCAAATATAAAACAGCTGTGGTGAGAGGGCCAGCAGAGTTGAATGTGTTTTTGCCGCGCACGTCGCTCTGCCAGGCGTTGTGGAAGTTTACCGCGTCGCCAAGCGGGTCGAGCTTGGCATCAAGGCGGCGGCGGTGTGCAGCGGGGAGCTGCAGGGCCTTCTCAAGGAGATCGAGCTGGTGTGGCACAACCTCATGGCTTTTCTGTCCTTGAGTACCGCCACGGTGAGTCTCCTGGTAAGCCACACAAACCCGCCCCTCATCTGCATGCGGGTATCACGCGCACACTCCTGTCCCGACGCATGCCCTGTGGACGCGGTTATGCGTGCAAACAGCAGCCGGCAATTGCCTGCTCGGGTGACGGTGACGTAACCACAGGACGTTGTCGCAGGCTAGATGCAAGTTGAGGCCACGTGACGTGTCGAATGCTTGCTGGCAACAGGTCATGGGTTGACCAATGTGTTATTGGTTAACTGACTTTTGACACGTACACGCACACAAATGGGCAAGGATGAGCGTTACGCATTAGCTATGTTGGCCAGTAGCATCGGTGTGTGTGTGCTCGATCAAAATCGCTTAATCTTTAAACATTTCGTAATGTCACTCATTGGGGGCAGAATACTTTTAACGAGCATATTACTCAGTAATGAAAACTCATATCCAACAATGAGTTTGATTTTGTGAAGTATATCAATTGCAAACCACGCAACAGTATTATATTGTAGTATATGCTTTGTTTTTCCACTGCACACATGGGATTTGATCGTCAATAAAAAGAAGGTAAGGAATAATTATCTACCCATTTTGGTCGCTCTCTAGTTTTTGCTCCTCACTCAAAGCTCACTTATTTTCCCGATCTCACCCCACGGCCCCTTAATTTCCTCTTCACCACCACCGTTACTGTTCCCTCTTCATATTACCATCATATGGCTATTACTCATTCCCCATTCATTCAATCCATTGATCATATATACTGTAATCAATTTCGTTTTCACCGAATTCACACATCACAGATTCGCCCTGTTGCTTCCTCTCATCTATTTTCTCCACGTCATCTCCACCATGACATTCATACGTGTACCGTTCTTAATTCTCCGGAATAAAATGTTTGCGAGCCTATTGAGATGCGGTACGCAACGCACATTTGTTTGTCCAAATGAAATCACTGCCCTGGACTTTGTGTGTGTGTGTGTGTGTCCCCGAAATCGGTGCGTGTCTCATTCTCACTCTCTCAACAGCCAGACGAAAGCGCGTTGGACTTCTCATCCTGCGTTCTGAGGGCGGGGACGAGGAATGCTAAGCAACTGGCATGTGGCGTGTGCCTGCTCAATGTAGAGGCTCGCAGCAAGGTCAGTCAGCCTTGTTTTCAATCACTTGTCTTAGGACATTATATCTTGCAGTCAATATTCCCCACTGCTTTTAAATGCAGCATGACATCGCTCCTGTCAACTTGACCCCACGTACTTGTCAAGTTTCTGCACATAGCGTGGGCCTGTTTTTATTTTCTTGCATTTTCCTTACGAGTGAGAATTTATGGCCGATGAGATGGTTGCATTTATTATATTCCTATCAACGTTTCTGCTGATGAGCCTTCACATTTGTTAGAAAAACGTATGAATTGAGAGTTATTCACGTCCTCATATATGTCTGTATACAATATTGCTATTAATTAAATTTAAAAAAAGTGGTGTTGGTGATAATGCCGGGTGCAGATGACGCTCTATCTTGATTTTTGTATTTAACAAACAGGCATTTGATGCCGAGTTGGACAGCTACAAGCTGGTGTATGGGGGCCACCAGTACCACGCCAGTTGCGCCAACTTCTGGATCAACTGCGTGGAGCCCAAACCACCCGGACTGAGCCTTCCCGAGTTGCTGTGACAGCAGCGGCGGCGGCGGCCGCCTTCGGTCAAAACGGCAGCTGTGCAGGCGCTGCTGGTGCCCTGCAAGGTCTTGTTACGAAGGTCACTTGTACGTCCGTGCGATTGGTGCAATAGCAATAATTGGGAATAGAGCACATAACTGTGTATACGCGCACACACACAGATACTAATCGGTATGAAATGCTGTTTTCACGCATTTTAAACGGCGTAATACAAAACGTAAAAATGTATGATATATAGCAGTGTGCAAGCACACGATAAGTAATCTGCTGTGTTTGCACCCAGTGACGAGTACACAGAAACAAACACAGATGTTCATAAGTCTCGTGTTCCCCACTGAAATGCAGGAATTGTTTTTGATCTTTTGCATTTTATTCCCGTCGCTGGCAATCTCTGCTTAAATTGCGATGTATTTGTGTTTGTTTTTTTTGGTCATGGCAAAATTGTTGGTTTTGCTTATTATGGTTATCCCAATCATGAGGTTGTGCTTTTCTCCAGCCATGTGTGCACTATTGAAGGTACAATGTAAAATATGCCTTCTCTCTGACTGAACGGAGTGTTACGCGTCATTGTTCTTAATATTTGCCATCAAAGATATTTTTAGACATTTCACAAGAGCATTGTATTGTGTGCTACATCAATGATACTGTCCACATTTTTTAAGGATCAAACAGCCTTTACAGACAATCGTTGGCTTTAAGTAGCTACGCTGGATGAATGTTTTGAGAGAAGAAACATTCAGAAAAGCCAAATTAACGATATAAAAAAATGAATTGCACCCATCTTGGTTCACTGTGCGTATTTGTATATCTGTAAAATTATAATATACTTGCATTATTTTTCTGAGAATTTAGTCCAGTAGTGTGTATTCTGACGTGTCTGATGTATTGTGTTTCTCGATATTTTAAGCTTTATATTTTGGCCTCATTAAATATAGACCAAATTTTATCGACACCGCGCACCACACTGCATTATCAGTTGCATCTTTATAAGAGCGACCATATTTATGTAAATATTGGTATGTTATAAATAGTTCTGCATTAACATCAGCACATTGCGGCAGTAAGGTTGGTTGATATGTTTATTTGTAAGGTGTGTGCTTACTTGAACGTGTATGTATAGTCCTTGACTGCCGTATATTACGGTTTTCATTTTATGACATTCCGTGAATCGTACTGTGATGCGTTTTCATCTCTCTAAAAGAATTTGTTTTGGTCCACAGCTGTGAATGTGTTACCTCTGCTTTAGGAATCTTCAAATAAATGGGTGTTTGATGGTATGATTTGTAATCGTATTTTCTTTCCTGCATAAATGCCATGTGCGTTCTTGTACCTCGGTGTAGGCTGCTTTCAAATACTTTTAACATTGACATGTTTCCTGCAGACATGGCTGTACTTCTCTCGAGTACGTGTATTTGTTACTGTAAATTCAACCACGTGCGCATGTGGAGTGTGCACTTAATCAAATGCACATCAACACCATGCAAGAACCTTGCTTCCATTCCTGTGTGTTCACGTGTGCTTGAACGTTGAACATTTTAAACACTGGTGTTACCGTGTCCTGTATTGCGATCATTTAAAATAGTTTTTCAACTCGTCTCACGTGTGTGCAAATCGGGTTATACAATGGCATGCATGTGTCCATCTCTGGCACTTTGGCTTAAACGGTGGGGTTTGCATGTTCTCCCTGTGATCGCGTTGATTTTTCTCCGGGACCTCTGTTTTTTACCACATTTAGAAACATGCTTTTAGAGTATTTGGCTGCTATAAATTTCCACAACCCACTTGAGCTATAATTTGTGGCCAGGTCACTTCTGAAAATGAAGCTATATAGTTCAATGGGCCTTACCTTGTAAAATAAAAAACATGTTGAATTGTTTAGTTTAAAGTGCTTAAACCACACTTTACCCCACCAAATGCGACCGTCAAATTGACTAAACTGGTGCACCCATTTTTTACTGCTGCGTGGACAGAGGCGAGGGGGGTTAACAAACTTGCCCATTGTTTCAGCCGTCAACCTGGTATATCGAATCAAAGACTAGCGACCTCTGGAGTGCAAGTCCAGTTGCACTCACCATGACACCATCTGCACAGGAATGAACACGCTCGCAAGTAAATGATGGCGCACTTCCATTAAGGTCGCATATACCGTTGATGAGAACAAATGCAATAAAACATTAATGGCTTGAATGCCTTGATACTAGAATATTATTGCAATGTCACCTTTCACTCGATGATGATGCATTATTAATCCGTGGGTGTTGGTTTACAAGGCCACCTAATGGCGAATTAATGTGGATACCAAACAAACCTCGGCTTTGTATTGCGAAACAAGCTTGCATTTAGTCCAAGGATGGTATCTCCATTGTTAGGAGATTATGCTGTACCGAGACATGTACACACAAACAAGTAAGCACATACACGGGCGTAATTACACATTTGCCCACAAACTTAATACTAGTAATTGGTAAGCTGTTGTAAGTTACAAAGGATTTGCTTTGGGGGTTTGGAGTTTCTGTGAACAGCGGCGTTCTGCAAGCGACAGACGGATGTAATATTTCCCAGGGAGAGCAATAAGCAGGCGACGAGCTTCCTTGATTGAATTGGTCATGAGATATATAGTACTATGCGGAATTGTTTGCTCATGTTGAAAGTACCAAATTTCGATTGAAAGCTTTCGTGACTGCAGGGATTTATCTTCTTGGTTCTTTCGCTAAAGTCACGTAGAAGGTAAATAATAAAAATAAACCATAATTAAATGCAATTCTCACGACGTTTCGGCCACAACGCAAGCAGCCGTCCTCAGGTGAAGAACAGGTCTGTCGGAAAGACAGCGACTGAATGAAACGTCGTGAGAATTGTATTTTATTATGTTTTATTTTTATTATTTCCCTTCTACGTGACTTTACCGAAAGAACCAAGAAGTTGAAAGTACCAGTTGTACTAAGGATATACAAGAATAACTGTCAGCATGCTTTGTTTTCTATTGGCTTCAGTGTCACTCGAGTGGACGTCTGTATATTTTTTGTAAATATTTAATACGGTACTTAAAACTATTTAGAATCTATATTTGGCCAGAGTAAAAAATATATATACCGAGGGGCTGTAATTTTTCGTTAAATCAAATGTGTAAATGTGGTTCGTCCAGCCCTTCTCGATCATTAGAGGTTTTATAATTAATTCGATTACAAGTGTTGTATCATAATCAAATGTTGGCACAATGGAAAACCTTTTGAACATGCGTGATGTGAACAATACCCTGCCACACAACACGTTCATGGGTAAGCAAACTATCTTACTGGTAGAAACCAGCTGGTTCCACCAGCCCACAGGGGATTATTGTGTCCGTCCGTCGTGCATCCAAAAATGGGAGGGGTGGGGCTGGGTAGGGAGGGGCTGGATGTTGAGGGGAGGGTGGGGAGGGTGGGAGGCATGGGGCTAGGTGGGGAGAGGCTGGTCACCCCGTGGTGCCCTTATAAAACTCAACGTTTAACCTACTCACACCGGCTTGTGCCCGCCCTCAGTCGGGCATATTTGCGGAATACACCACGCCGCCGTTGATCCTGGCCATTGACCGAGCAACCTAACGTTCCTACCAGCTCCCTCCGCAGGAATGTGTTTGCTCCGATTTGTTAATTCTTTTCATGGGCCCACGCAAACGTCAACCCCCACGCGTTTTGTAAATGAGCAAGCCATCTGTTGAATAGCATCACACTGTCACAGCAGCATTCAACTCATTGCAATATTAACATTCATGTGGCGACAAGCCTTCGCAAGTCACTGTTGCCTATGTGTACAAATCTAATGTTCGGCCGAGAATTTGACATTTGCAACCGAGAAGCTGAATGACTGCACTTTAGAATTGTCTCGACTTACATCCAGTGGGCAGTAATCGGCGCTTAATTTCAGCCGAACCTTTCCGTTGAGTCAGTGATCCGGGAAATAATTAGGCACCCGGCACACCACATCCAGTATATATCTCAATATTGGTCATTATGGGTGGAACAAATGGGTATACACTACTCAAAGGTTTTTGGGTTAGATCGCGTAAGTATACATGTGTCGTAACCCTCCACCACCCAACAGCCAATTGGTCAGGGATTTGTCACGTCAACAAAACGACAGTTAGTGACTACTTCAGCCCACCGGTGTGTTGGAGAGTAAATCCACAACATTTACAATTTGAGTACGACGTTTCGCTGGTAATTACATCCAGCATCATCGGGCGATTTGCGAGAATCGTGAAGCAATCCACCTGCTTCTGGTCTTAAATAGAGCAGCAGCAGAACGACGTCATCACCGAACCCAATCAGGTGCAGAGATCAGTTGGCGGGGGAGGGGTATTGTCATTATATAATCGATTAGTCATCAGTTCATTAGTGTGTATCTCCTCTATACAAAATTGTAAGATGTATTAATAATATAAAGCCCAACTTTATCTGTGATGAACATGATGAACGTTTGAGAGAGAGCGAACGAGGCGATGTGGTTTTGATTCCCAGAATCGACTTGCCCCCCACCAACACGACTTTGCCATTTGTTTTGCGACGACGACAATTCCCCATTATCCCCGCATACGCTATCACAATCAACAAGTCGCAGGGACAGACGTTCGATTACGTTGCAATCGATCTGCAGACGACGGTCTTCTCGCACGGCCAGCAGCTCTGTGTCGCCTTATCTCGATCCCGCAATCCCAACCAGGTGAAAGTCCGCATCGAACCGAACCTCCAGCAAGGCCATCTTACTTAACGACGAGAGAAAATTCACACGAAATGTCATTTTCAATAAAGTCTTCCAGGTGTAAAATGATATAAGCTTTTAATGAAGAAATAACATTCTCGAACTCAAAACATAAAATTCAAAGATGTTTCATTTCAAAACTTAAAAACGGAGCATCGGGTGCTTGCGTGAATGCGTCGTTCATGTGCAAATGTTGTGACTTTCCTGGCCGAAGGCCGTAAATGGTTTTGAGGGGCACCACAGGCACCCCCAAACAACCTAGTTACTTAATAATACGCTTCCAAAATATACAGTACGTTTAAATTGCCTACTACAATCTACCAGCAACCCATAATATATTCTGAAAAATTGAGCTCTGCATGGCAGCAACCAACTAATAACAAACCAAATGGCAAATAATCGTTATTAGTGTAATGTAACTAATGGTTGGTATACCTTTAAACTACGGTACATACATTTTCCTAATCCAGAAAGCCATGGCAGCTAATGTGAGTTACATGCATACAATTGAACAATGATGTGCCAAGGACATCCAAACGATCACATTGATCAATGCCGGCCGTGAGATTAACGGCCTCACCTTGAACTGCCAGCAAAAAATGCTAACTGATGCGAACACGAGTAAATTGGGGTTGAACATTTGCAAAGATGTGTTGCTCTAAAAAGAAAGAAAAATAATCAATATTTTATTTCGGTTTTCCCAGTAAAATATCAATGTGTGGGATTCCACAATTATATGGACCACAGCGAATTATTTCGGGACAAAAGTTGCATTGCAATGTCAAATGCGGCTTAGAGTCGTGCACGCCTGAGTCTATACGTTAACGTGGGATGTGGGGTTGACGGATCACGCAGAGATGGAACCAACAACGTGTGTGGCTGCAGAGCAACGAATAGGCCACACGTGGTGGAGTCGGGTCGGGTGGCTGGCCCTTAACTGTTCATGAGTTTGAATCTCTCCTGCGTCGGTACATGAATGACACGGGTGTTATTCATCAACAGCCACGCTCAATTCATCGCCAATGCATCGCCATCTCTCACGGTTCTGCCATGTCACAATCTATATATCCGGCACGTGTACACGAGCTGGATTCCATCGCTCCGTCTCCGCGATTCACACGTGCTCACGGACGCGTTCATTGTTGACGCATCATCATCATCACCATCATTGTTATTGTTGTTATTCGTGCCGACGCAATCGTGCTCGCCGTCGGGAGGCAAAATGAATTTGTGCGAGCCGTGTTGTGATCTGTGCTGCAGTGCGGCGTGTAGACGTGATTGCCATGTGAATGCGGGCGATGGGAATGCAGGGAACGATGGGTGGATTAAACGCGTCCGAGAAAACGTCCACCGAGGGAGATGGAGCGATGGAACGAGCTCGTGTTCAGCTGCTTCTCGGTGGATTGTTGCATCGCAAAAACCCGTGACGGGTGGCGACGGCTTGGGGGGGGGGGGGGGTAATGATGGCTGATAATGATGACTGATGAATGGATGTGGATCCAACCTTGCTGGGCTCAGCGGCAGCCACGCGGCCTCG